TTGCAGGCCACGGCCCCCAGCAACCGCACATTGATGTTTCTCTCTCTCTCTCTTTCTCCCTCCATTCCCTCTCTAAAAAGGAATAAATAAAATCTTTAAAAAATATGTGTATATATATAAATGATGTCCTCACCCCCACAAGGCTGAGTTGGGGAATGGGACACAAGGAGCAGGGCCATTGAGAGCTGTTTTGCATAGCAACGGTTTTGCTGATAACCTCTAGAATGGTCATTTTACATATCTATAACCTTTAACTCATTTCACAAATATATTAAACAGCTGTGGCCAGGCTTTGAGCCAGGGGATGGGAGTGACTTCAACCCAAGTTGTAACTGGGAGGCAACTCCCCCTGGTTATAGAGCCTGCATAAGAGCTTGGGGATGATTGACTCCACAGTACAGGGCCACACCTGCCCGGACTTAATATGGCAGCCCAGTAAAGCTGGAAAAATATGGGGATGCTGGCAGCTGTGGCCAATTGTGGGAGGAGTCAGAAATGGTGTGGCAGAGGGGTCTTTTTGGGACCATGCAGCTTGGGCAAAGAAGAACCACGGACTTCTATTTCTTTTTCTGAGTTATGGTACCCCAGTTGGGCAGAGGGGGAAGGAAGGACTGTGCATTTGTGGATATTCTAAGGGACTTTGGGATCTCAATGAAGACATTAAGTCATTACTCTTAGGTCTGTATAACACCTTTCCTTTTCACCAGTCTCTGGCATTGAGAGACATTTTTCCCTGGTGGCAAACAAGGCAAACCTAGTATGGGGTGGGGGACCCCCGGAGCACAACTGTGGGTCCATTCAATAATAGTATATCATTCCCCACCCAGGTCTGTTCTGTAACAATACCTTTAAACCCTTTCTGATCATTTTCGAGGTCCCCACAGCAGTGCTTTTCAAGCTCTTAGTACATCAGCTCACCTACAAAGTTTGCTAAAACACATACTGCTGGGACCCCTCCAGAGTAGGTCTGGGGTGGGGGTCCCAGAGTTTGCATTGCTACTAAGTTCCCAAGTGGTGCCCAATTGCTGAACTGTGGACCATACCTGGAGAGGTCAGAAGCTCTGAAAACTCACAATTTTCTTGTGTTTTGGGGATAATATAAAAGTCCAAAAATTAGAGCTTTTTTAAAATGGGAGAAGATGAAAAAAAGAAGGAAAGGAAAGACTCCTCTCACAGTCCAAAGGGAAAGAAAAAGTAAATATTAACGATTAGAGCACGGGTGTCAAACTCATTTTCACTGGGGACCACAACAGCCTCGCTGTTGCGCGTGGGTCACCGGCCAGCAGTGACCACGGCACACTGTGGATGGCTCGACAATACGCGAGAAAAAACACACATGCACAGAGACAAACCAGTTTCTGTGGGGAAGTAGGGACAGAATGGCCACCCCCCCTAGTGGGGAGTGCGCCGATCCACTGTCCATACCTGCTTTTATTAGGCTCATTTTGCATAATAACTCAGGTAACGTACAATACTCATTAGGGGAAGTAAGGAACATATAAAACAAAGAACTCTGCCGGTCTATTGAGTTGGGGGTCAAAGAGCTGTAAGGCTGAGGAACAAACTAGCTTCCTCCTAAGACCCTCCTCATTCAACTAAGAGCATTCTTGGACAAAGAAGGTTTCACAGTAATTTACATGTTCTTTCTTAGGCCTGATCACCCCCGGGAAATCCGCACTTCCCAGTACCGAGCTGTACTTCCCCGTCATTGTTTCAGGCTTAGGTGGAGCGCGGGAACTAAAGCCACCGAGAGATAAGGAGATTTTCTTCCGGACGCTGAGAACTCAGACTTTGTCAGAGCCGAGGAGTGAGGGTCCATCACCCCCTTTTGCTGCAGCCCCCCCAAGTCCTTCTTTTGGGGGGCCTCCCAAAGTGATCGTGCCTGGCTTGGGTTGTTCCCTCCCGTGGGGAATCTTACCCGTCTTTGGCTAACCGACCAAGCTTTTTTGGGGTTCAGCAGCAGAAACAGCATTACTGCCAGGGAGATAAGCTTTTTTCTCCTTGCCGGCTCACGGTTCCAAGGGCGTTCCCTTAGCTTAGCCTAGGCGGGGGTTTCAGCTTCTAATACCAGTCAGGGCGGTTCCCAACACCTCGCAGTTGCCTTCAAAGGGCCAAATGTAATTTTAGGACTATATAAATGTAACTACTCCTTAACTAGGGGCAAGAAGCTCATCATTGCTGCTGGGTAGAAACAAGGTGCTGGGCTGGATAAAGTAAGGTGGAAGGCCAGATTCGGCCTGCGGTCCTTGTGTTTGCCATCTGTGGACTACAGTGTTGCCTAGACTGAGGCAAAATGTAGTATTTAAGAATTTCCATGCAAGTCAGGAAGCAAAAATCAGATGCTTCATGCAATTCTCAGGGCAGGATTCCGTATCTAGGCATCAAAGAGGCAAGCACACAGGTGATGATTTAGTTACAACTTCTTTTCTTAAAACCGACTTCAAAAGACCTGAAAATTACAACTCTGCATCTTTGATTTTCCTTCATGAAGACTATATTTTATTGTTTCTGTAACTATATTCAATTTTGTTCATAAAACATATGCATGATATAATTGAGACAAAAAAAAAAACAAGTTGTCAGTTCAGAGTTCACTATCTCTGTCTTCTTTCTTACCAACAGTCTTAACTCTTCTCTTCAATCACTCCCTCTTATAGTCACAGAGTATAAATGGCTTAAGTTTCTTTTTTTTAAAGACTGTATTTATTTATTTTTTAGAGAGGGGAATGGAGAGAGAAGGAGAGGGAGAGAAACATCAATGTGTGGTTGCCTCTCGCACGCCCCCCACTGGGGACCTGGCCTGAAACCCAGGCATGTGCCCTGAATGGGAATTGAACTGATGACCCTTTGATTTGCATGTCTAAATTCAACCACTGAGCCACACCAGCCAGGGCTTAAGTTTCTCATTCTTAAATGGCAACAGCTCTCAAACACAAATTTCCCCTTTGCCAATGCCTATGGCTATCCTAAAAAAGTACTTTACACTTTTGGTCTTTCTTTTCTTATTCCTTAGCCAATTAAAATTTAAACCCAGCTTCCATGACCCTGACCTAAATTTCTATGCCATGTAAATTGAAAGACTTCCTAGTTTGGGCGTATTTTCCTCCCAAAGGGGACAATCTTATTTTAAATTTCTAATGATGCATTTGACTTTCTGAATTGCCTAGTTCTGTAAAATCCCCTAATCTCATAACTGCAGGGTAACTTCCTTCACTGACCTCCCATAAATGCCTTTTTGACCTGTATTGCTGGATTCATTTCCTCTATCTGCCTTGTAAATATCTCCTAGAGTGCTGCTCTGAGGCGTCTTCTCCTTTCACTTGGCAACTTCCCCCAATGACCTTTTCTATTCTTGTGGGTTTTACCGCAATGTGCCATTTCTATAGTTGGGTCCCCCAGTTGTGTATTTCTAATATTAATTCTCTCCTTCAAACTGTATATTCAACTCCCCAGCATGCAAGAATATTTTGACTTTCCCCAGATATTTTAGGCTGTATCTATCTGAAAGGAAATTCACTATCTTTAAGCCCTCTCTTTGATTTTAACTTGCATTTCTGTTTCACTTTGTGTTCCCATCAATTCATTCAGTCACCTAATTCACAAACATGGAAATCATCCTCACCTCCTTTCCTTCTTAATCCAGAGAAACAACATCCAGTTGTGCAGATTATATTCCCAAAAAGAAGGCCCAGCCCTGGCTGGTGTGGCTGAGATGGTTGGAGCGTCACCCAGTAGAGCAAAAGATGGCGGGTTTGATTCTCGGTCAGGGCACACATCCACGTTGCGACTTTGATCCCTAGTCAGGGTGTGCACAAGAAGGTAACAAAGTAATGTCTCTCTCTCTCTCAAAGAAATGAAAAAATGTCCTTGAGTGAGGATTCAAAGGAAAAAAAGAAAACAACAAAAACAAAAAGGAGACCCAGACTATGGGGTAGATCAGAGTTGGCAAACTTTTTTGTAAAGAGCCAAATAGTAAATACTTTAAGCTGTGACACAGTATGGTTTCTGCTGCAACTGCGCATTTCTACTGCTGTAATGAAAGGTAGCCATAGACGACACGTAAACAAATGAGTGTGGTTTTGTTCCAGTAAAAGTTTGCTTAAAGCAGTAGGTGTAGTTTGCCATTTCCTGGGATTGAGTCAGGGTTGCTGAAACCCAGCCTATGTTCTATTTAGCTATAACATGGGCCCAGAATGGGCACATGTGTGGCGCTATTGGGCAAGGAACCACCTTGCCTTTAGCACCCCCCGCTTCTAAATTTAATCATATGTCGTTTCAATTTTACTTTCAGAATATTTTCTGAATGCATGTCTTCTCCTTTCGAAATCCATTGCCACTGCTTATGTTTAGTCCTTCAACAGGATCTCAAAGGCTTCCTGATCTGACTACATATCTTAAAATTCTACAAATCAAATTGACTTCCTAAAATTCAAATCAAATAATGGGATCATCTTACATAAAAAAAATCTTATGTATGTTGTAAAAAGCACATTTGATCTCATTTTGTAGTCTCATCTTCCACCACTCTTTCTCTTGAGCTTTATATTCTAGTAACAATGAATCATTTATAGTCCCAAGAAGCACAAATATCTCTATTTATCGACTGTCCCCTCTGTTTTTACTGCCTTCCCATCTTCAAATTTCCACCTGGAAAAGTCACTTTCAGATTCTATAGCTGGCCCCAGCTATCATATTTCTGCATACATTTCCCTTTAATTCCCCACAACAGTTGATAAATTAACCACTTTTTCCTCTTTCCAAGTTCTTAAACTTATACACACATCAGTCATTGAACACATTATTCTGAAATACATCTCACTATATTTTTTTTTCTCCCTTTGTAAGCCCTATGTTCCTTGAACACAAAGATTTTACTCATCTCTGCATCTGCATTGCTGAGCTCAGGGCCGGTGGCATATAGTGGAATCTGAGAGCAGCCACTCCCTGAAGCTGCTTCTCAGAGAGGCCTAAAAATAGAGATGTTTCTGTTTTGAATGCAGAAAAAGCTTCCAGATCATTATAGACCTTGGATGGAAATTGCCAACAAACTTTCCCACTTGATTGAGAGTCACCAGCTTCGAGCTCACGTGAACACGGTATGTATTTTTTTATATTTTACTCTTTGACCCCTTTTCCCCACTCTATTGAAATCCTCATGCCACTGTTCTTTCTCAGCATTATGGAACTGGGTCTACTGACAGAAGGACACTGGTCATTGTCATTGAGCTTATAGACAAAATGGTCTCACCCTTCCTGAAGAGTCGAGTATTTTATTCCTGATTTGACATGTGTTTCCTCACCATTTCCAGAGCCTGCACAAAATAATTCCTGGAACATATTAGGTGCTCAACAAGAACTTGTTTAAAAAGACAATCTGGTTGTAACTAGCAGGCGAGCTGATGGGTAAGATCTCTCTGAGAAAGGACAAGCATAGAAATTCTCACCATCCTCACTCTATATCACGTGGTCAGCACTCCCCTGCCCCTGAGTGAATCTGCCTTGATTGTACTGTAGGAACCTCGTAGAACATTTGAGTCAAGAGACTTTCTGTGTTTATAAGGTCAGGGTTGTCAGGTTCTGCAGGAATAATTGATAAGTCTGTAAATAACATATTTTTCAGACTGTAAGATGCACTTCTCCTGCCCACAAATTTGGGAGGATAATGGTTGTTAATGCTGCTGTTGAGTTCTGTTTACATTTACATTGGTGAAATATTATGTTATTTATGTTATTAAATATTTTACCACATTTTTTGCTTCAAAATTTTTTTCTTATTTTCCTCTAAAACCTAGGTGTGTCTTATGGTCCAAAAATATGGTACATATGGGATAAGATGATAAATGTTTTTTTAAATATATTTTATTGATTATGCTATTACAGTTGTCCCATTTTCCCCCTTCACTCCCCTCCACCCTATTCACCCCCTACCCTCCATATCCCCCCCTTTAGTCATGCCCATGTGTCATACTTATAAGTTCTTTAGCTTCTACATTTCCCATACTATTCTTACCCTCCCCCTATCTATTTTCAACCTACAATCTATGCTACTTATTCTCTGTACCTTTTCCCCCTCTCTCCTCCTCCCACTCCCCTGTTGCTAACCCTCCATGTGATCTCCATTTCTGTGGTTCTGTTCCTGTTCTAGTTATTTGCGTAGTTTCTTTCAGTTTTGCTTTAGGTGTGGTTGTTAATAATTGTGAGTTTGCTGTCCTTTTACTATACATGCTTTTTTTTAATCTTCTTTCCTTAGATAAGTCCCTTTATCATTTAATAAAATAAGGGCTTGGTGGTGATGAACTCCTTTAACTTGACCTTATCTGAGAAGCACTTTATCTGCCCTTCCATTCTAAATGAAAGCTTTGCTGGATAGAGTAATCTGGGATATAGGTCCTTGTCTTTCATGACTTGGAACACTTCTTTCCAGCCCCTTCTTGCCTGTAAGGTCTCTTTTGAGAAATCAGCTGACAGTCTGATGGGAACTCCTTTGTAGGTTACTGTCCCCTTATCTCTTGCTGCTTCTAGGATTCTCTCCTTCATTTTTACCTTGACTAATGTAATTATGATGTGCCTTGGTGTGTTTCTTCTTGTTTCCAACTTCTTTGGGACTCTCTGAGCTTCCTGGCCTTCCTGGAAGCCTATTTCCTTTGCCAGAATGGGGAAGTCCTCCCTTATTATTTGTTAAGATAAGTTTTCCACTTGTTGCTCTTCCTCTTCTCCTTCTGGTACCCCTATAATTCAGATGTTGGAACATTTAAAGATGTCCTGGAGGTTCCTAAGCTTCTCCTTGTTTTTTGAATTCTTATTTCTCCATTCTTTCCTGCTTGGTTGTTTTTTTCTTCCTTCTGGTCCACACTATTGTTTTGAGTCACAGTTTCCTTCCCATCACTATTGGTTCTCTATGCATTTTCCTTCATTTCTTTTATGGTAACCTGCATTTTTTCATGTCATTTTTGCCCAAAATCAACCAATTCTGTGAGCTTCCTGATCACTAGTGTTTTGAATTGTGCATCTGATAGATTGGCTATCTCTCGGTCGCTTAAAATGATGAGTCCTGGGGCATTGATTTGTTCTTCTGTTTGAGACATGTCTCTCTCTCTCTCTCTCTCTCTCTCTTTTTTTTTGGTCTGGTCGCTCCTGTTACGGTGAGGAGCGGAGCCTTAGGTGTTCACCAGGGCTAGGCACCCCAGTCGCTAGATTGTGACCTTGTATGTGGGGGCGGGGGTGGGAGCGGGAGGGAACAATGGCAGTAGCTCCGATCTCCCGGAACTTCAATCCCTTCTCTGGGATCCTGGGTTACGCGCTCTGCCCTGGTCCACAATTGCTGCCTCACTGCATCTGCCAGCTGCCGCTTGCATACTCAGGGTCCACCAGCTGTGATCTTGTGCACCCCAGATGCCTTATGTGCCCAGTTCTCCCTGTACTCTGCGCACCACGACCCATGCCTGGCTGCTCGTCTCTGCCCCTCCTACCGGTCTGGATGAACGAGTCTACTTCAACTTCTTGGCTGTCCAAATTCCATTCAGATAAATTCTCTATCAGTTCTGGGTGTTATTCTGCCTCTAAATTGTTGTTGTTCTAATCTTGGTTATGTGTGGAGGTACAGTGCATCCATCCATGCCTCCATCTTGGCCAGAAATCTTGGATAAAATGATAAATGTTTTCTGAGAGTATGTAAGGAACAGTGAAATTTCTTGGTCCCAGGAGAACTGACATAAACCTGCATGAATACTAAGAAGATATGATAGGAAGAAATATAGAGTCTGATTCTAGAAGACCTGAGTTTCAGTCCTGGTTTCTTCAGATAGTAGCTATATAACTTTGAACAAGTTGCTTAACCTCTATAATTCTGCTACCTTATTCATAAAATTGGAGAAATTCTTTTCTCATAGAATTGTTGTGAAGACTAGATGACTTTTGAAGTAGGCTTTCCTATTTCCTGTCACATAATAGTAGTGTTCAGTGCATATTTATACTTCCCATTAGTCTCTTTGCATCTGTCTCAGTCTCACAATCTGAAGTGCCATGTGATTTTAAAGATACAAAAAAATGTTTTCCACTCTCCAAAATTCTCCTTCACTAATACATATTTAATATATATAGTTAAAAATTCACTTCCAAAGGCTTACTGAATGCCTGCTAAGTGCAGTCCCAAGATGAGAGACATTGTTAAAGAGCTGTAAAGGGGATAGACATTTACAGCCAATGACCTCCAATACAAAACAAAATATAAAAGGTTCTTAAAAAAATTTTAACATCTTAATTAATGCAAATCCTTAATTAAAAATAATGGATGTCTAATTAATTATATTTACTTCTTAAACATAACAGAATATTCCATAAAAGGAACTATTAGAAAAGCAAGAAAAAAAACAACAAACAAAAATAGTGATAAAAGCCCAAATCCATTGGGGGAAAAGTGGTAATTTAGGACATTCTGTAAAAAGTTTTCATGAAGCATAAAGCAAAAGTGAAAGAAATCCCAGTTATCAGAAAAGATGTGTGAAAAAGGAAACCAATGATTCAAATCCAGAAAACAGAACTCTCAGAAGCAGAGTAGTGCAGGGAGAGGCAAAGCAAATCTTCAACCAGGTACAAATGCCACTTTTTAGATCCGATTTAATTCCATTAGAAAGACAATGGGGAGTGGGATGGCACACAGATATTCTGGTGAAATTTCCAATTTTCTAGAACACAAAGAAAAATTTGCAAATTTTAATCATGAAATAATAAAAATAAAACTAGATTACTTACAGAATAACATGAGACTGTTTATAATAGTATTAAAAGACAATTTAACATCTATCTGAATGGCTAAAACATTTTAAAAAATCTGGCCATATCAATAACTAACTGCTGAGGATTTGTGCTGAAAGAGACTCTTACTCATTTTTTTGGTGGGCATACAAAATGATACAGCTACTTTGGAACACAGGTGACAGATTGTTATAAAGTTAAATGGTAGACTTACCATCTGACCCAGCAATCACATTCCTAAGTGTTTACCCAAGTAAACTGAAGTGGAAAAGCTTGTGCATAAATGTTTGCAACAGTTGTGATCATACGCACCCAAACTGAAGGTAACCAACATATCCCCTCAACAGGTGAAGGGTTAAATTGAGTATAATGGACTAAATGTTTGTGTGGATCCCAAATTTGTATGTTGAAATCCCAACTTCCAATGTGATCATACTAGGAGGTGGGGTTAGTCAGGGTTCTTTCAAGAAACAGAATCAATAAAATATATACCACCAAAATATATTCTACTACTAAAAATATATAACTAATAAAATATATACTATTAATGGGACTCATGGATGATAAAACTTCTGTATTGTACTCAGCTGGTGAGTGCCTGACTCTGTGCATTTTTAAAACTCCAAAACTGTACATTACAAAGAGTAAATTGTATGCAACAATTAAACAGAATGTTGAGGGATCCTGGGACGGAATGTAGACGATGACGAATGTAACTGTGTTACAGATGCAGGACAACTTCAGGAAAGAGGGTGGGGGAGGGGGGCCGGGGCGGGGAAAAGAGCTGACATAAATCACTGTGGTAAGTGACGTGCCTGGAATCTATATGAGTAATTAAATCTGTGAGGCTGAATCACTGAACTGTAGTTGGTAAATTTGTTTATCATGGATACAGGTTAACATGGATACAGGTTAACATTTCTGAAACTAATTTATAAGTATATTTTTCAGAGAAACCTCTAACCAAGAGGAACATCCTCAACTTGGACCTTACTCCTTGACTTTAAGATGGCACTATAGGTAACCAATAGCTCCTTATGGCTACTGAGCACTTGAAATGTGGCTAAAACAAATTGAGATGTAATATATTCACTGAATTTTGAAGACTTACTATAAAAAGAGACTACAAAATATCTCAGTATTTTATATTGATGTTGGCTTGATAATATTGTAGATACATTGACCTAGATAAAAAATATTTTAATACAATTTCACTATTTTTACTATTTTAATTTTTTTTGTATTTTATTTAATCTTTATTTTATTTCTTCCATTACTTTTTAGTCCCCTATTTCCCCCTCCCCCCAGCAATCACCACACTGTTGTTCTTGTCCATGAATCCCTTTTCCTTTTGGTTTAATCCCTCTTCCCCACCCCCCACTAGCTGTCATCCTGCTCCTTATCTATGAGTCTGTCCCCATTTTCCCTGTTAGTTCGGTTTGTTCATTAGATTCCACATATGTGTGAAATCGTATGGTATTTGTTGTTCTCTGAGTGGCTTATTTTACTTAGTAAAAAAAAGAAGAAAATTTTACCCTTTGAGACCGTATGCATGGATCTTTTCACTATTTTCTAAAGTGTGGCCTCCAGGAAATTTAAAATTATACCCGTGGCCTCCCTATGTCCATCGGACAGCACTGACGGGGGAGCAGAGCTGTCAGCGCAACGGAAACGGCCCCCTGCCTCAGCCCCCGCAGGCTCTGTGACCCTGTTCACACACCTCGCCCTCTCTGACTTCCAGTTTTGTCCTGTGGGTTTGGGGGAGGACAAAAAAACCATCCTGCACAGGAAGTGTTTAGCATTGTGCCTTGGACGCTCTTTAGTAAGAGTCTTAGAATAAGTACTTAATAACTGCTGTTATAATTCTCGGGCTGGTTTCTGTTAAATGCAACATCTCAGCAGTTCCCTGCTGCCCGGGGCCCACAGGCCTAGGGCACATTAAGTAGATTTTTTCTGAGCCAGGATGTAAGAGAAAGGAAAATGCATACAGATTAAGAAAGGCTGCCCCACAGTGGATAGAGGAGGAAGGATTCCTTCCGGGAGGCTCAAGTGTCAGCTGCCCTGAGCTTGGGCTGGAGGAGCCAGGGCAGGGGGGTGGGGGGTGGGTTCCAGCTCACTTGATGGTGCCTGTAGCTTAAAGAGAAACACAAGAAGGCCACAGCCACTCCTGCAGGGGTTTCTGACCTGGAGAGGAACACCAGGGATGATTCAGATCAGGCTGTTTCTAGGGCTGCAGAGGGGTTAGAGGAAGGAGGCAAGCTGAGGGCTCTGTGCCTGGAAGCAGGAGCTTAGGGGAGTTTGGTGTCAGCGAAGACAGGCAGGGCTGACCCAGGCAAAACTGAGAAACTGGTGGTTTGGGCAGGGGCATTGCTATCAGTGATAACTAACTTCTGTACAGGGTGTTGCCTTTAATGAGGACACCACCTGCAGACCTCCAGATGACACATTTTGCAGGGAGGAAACAGGCATGGAGAGGTGAAGAGACCCAGTCAGGGTCACTGGGAGTGTTTAACTGAGAGCTGGACAACCAGTTGATCCAGTTCAGCTGCCTCCCTCTAAGGGTTCCATCGAACTCCTAACACTATGGGCCCTTGTTCTGTTAGAGAGTAGACAGCTGGTTAGATATTAATGAAGGAAGAGAGAGTGAACAGGGGCAAAGCATCTGACTCATCAGGTCAGTCGTTTGCTATTACCCCAAGGAGGAAATGACAACGTTCCACCAGGTCAGCAGGCTGGGGGAGAACCGAAGACATCCTAGGGAGGGGGAACTGGGAGCAGAAGCAAATTCTTCTCCTCAGTTATACCCTGATTATAATAAATCAGCATTGTGGTTTTTCACCCACTTTGTGGGTAAATCTGGAAAATAATGGGTAAGAGCCAAAATGGCAGGACACCACCCAAAGAAAATCAGAAAATAGGGTTGAATAGTTGAAAAATGAGTCCACTCTTTTCAGGGGTTGGATAGTTCAAAAGTAACCCACTCTTTCCCCAGCCCAAGAGAACGTAAGAAAACTCACACGAAGATCTCCCGAGAGTCACTCGTGGAGCCTGCCCCACTCCCTGTCCCTCCGAGAGTGTACATTCACTTTAATAAATCCTGCTACTGCCACTTGAACTTCTCCTGTGTGTGTGTCCCTGAATTCTTTCCCGCAACACCTCAAAGAACCCTCTGTGGGGTGACAGTTGTACTCATTAATTAAATGAAGACATTGCTCCCCACAGCGCAGGGCTATTGTTAGGGTCTAAGATGCCAAATAAGCAGAGGTGCTCTGAAAGGACAGGATGGTAAAAGGTGCCACTGGGGACTCCCATGAAATAAATGATCTTGAGTGGAGTATTGTGGAACACTCTAACCAAGTGGTCACTTCAATGATGGAGACCGGTGTCCAGCACAACCACGGGGATAACTGGGGAGCTTGGGTGGGGTGGTTAGCTACTTCCAAAACAATGTAGCTTGGAATACCTGCTGCGCCATCCTAGGATCAGGGGAGACATGGGTGTGCCTGATTCCTGCACTGAAACAGAACTGTTCCTTCTAGTCACGGTGCCCAACTGACAATCTCTGGGAATTCTCTTGGACAGATGCCCCTTCTGAACTGTGAGTTCCTCAAGAGTCATCGGGAACAGCGCCTGGCCCACGTGGTCCTGAGCTTTATTACCATGGGGTACATCTGGCAGGAAGGAGAGACACAGCCTGAACAGGTAAAGCATAATAGATGTCTTGTCATCAGGCAGGTCTGTCTGCTTGCCTGGAAATGTGGGTGATTTCCAGGCAAATGGTGATTGCCTGGAAAATGGGTCCTTTCTTCTTTTCTTGGGTGTCAGTTGAAAGAAGGACAAAGGGCCCATTTAAATGAGAGTTTTTTCTCCCTGAGTAGGAAGTGAATTTTCTTTAGAACTGGTAACCCTTTATTACTTTTCAAATCTATTTTTTTCTTATACCCACTTCCCAGAATGTTTGAAGGGTTGCATTTGAAAGCAAGTTTTGAGATCTCCTAAAAAATTTAACAATAGTTCACACTTTACAGCATTTTATACTCCTAATACATGTATTATCTCAGTCAATTTTCATAGACCCATAAGGTAAGCAGAGCTAAACTGTGCCCATTTTACAGACAGCTGAGGACTACAAGAAGTCCAAAGTCAGATGTCAAGTTTCTGGGAAATCCAAGGCCAGACCCTAAACCTCCTAATTTCACTAATGTAAACTCCTTCTTCCAGAGGTGTGCATTGCCATTCACAACACCACTGCTTGCTCACTACCAATTACCGATTTGTTTCTTAATAATTCCTGTATATCTCTTCTGAATCTTTGCATAACATTTTACAGTTTCAGCCTGAACCTTGAGACGTGAAGTCCCCAAGTTCCACTAATTGTTGGATAAAAGAGGACTGCCTTTATATGAAACAAATATACTTTTCCCAGAAATCAGGGAGCTGCTCTTGTTCTGGTGCACCCCGGTCGAGGGAGTGGCCCAAGCCTGTTTTGTTTGCCTGGTTGATTTCACCTCTTATCTCTCAAGTGACTACTTGAGACTCCCTGTGAGAAAAAAACAGAAAGTACAGAGCTGATTCGGACTTTAAAAGTATCAGTGTAACACTTCCTCTAAGCAGCAGTCTGAGGTGACCTCTGAAAATAGTTCATTATCTACTTGGCCCAGAAAACCCCAGAAAGTAATATAAGTGGAAGTTCAAATCTTCGTGTTCACTTTAAGAACACTTGTGAAACTGCCCAGGCCATCAAAGGTATGCAGATCTGAAAGCCACCAAGTATCTGAGGGATGTCATTTCACAGAAGCAGTGTGTGCCATTCTGTGTTACAATGGTGGAGTTGGGAGGTGTGCCCAGGCCAAACAAGTATGGGTCTAGATGCAGGGTCAGTGGTCCAAAAAGACTGCTGAATGTTTGCTGCCCTTGCTTAAAACTGCAGAGAGCAATGCTGAACTTAAGGGTTTAATGTAGATTCTCTGGTCATTGAGCACATGCAGGTGAGCTCAAAGCTCCCAAGAGGCAGTGCAGCACTTACAGAGCTTGTGGGTGGAGTAACCCACACAGGAGCTCTCCCTGCCACATTGCGATGATCCTCACTGAAAAAGAGCAGATTGTTCCTAAACCAGAAAAGGAGGCTGCACGGAAGAAAAAGGAATCCCAGAAGAAACAGAAGAAACAAAAACCTATGGCCCAGAAGTAAATTTAACATAAAATAACTGCTAATAAAAATTTTAAAAAGTCAATATATTTAATTAAAAAAACCCATATGTCTAGGGTTGGAAAGTTTGATATGTAGGCCCACAGTAGAACATCCGGCCGGGTTTCCAACCATACCAAGCCATACCACTACCTCGGGGAAGGGTAGGGAAAAGTGGCAGGAGACGACGTCGCCCTCTTCGAGGTGTGTTCCTGTGCTTCCAGGCCCAGTGAGCCCCTGCCCCCGGCCTCAGATCCTATCTTACTTTCTTTGTATCTACGTAGACACCTCTCTTCTGCACTGTCCTCCTCATACCCTGCCTCCTGAGGGAAGTTGACTTAAGGTTGAATTTTAAAGCTCTTTACAGCTCTTGCCCTGGCTGGTGTGCCTCAGTGGACTGAGCTACAGCCTGTGGCCCAGTTCAATTCCCAGTCAGGGCACATGGCTGGATTGCGGGCCAGGTCCCCAGCTGGGGGTTTGAGAGAGGCAACCGATCGCTGTTTCTCTCGCACATGCACAGCAAATTTCTCTCCCTCTTTTTCTCCCTTCTTTCCCCTCTCTCTAAAAATAAAGAAGTAAAACACATTAAAAATAAAACTCTTTAAAGCTCTTTATTGTTTTTACCTAAGAAACAGTTGTCCCAAGGTGATTTAAAAATATTGTAAGAAATAAAAAAGGCAGAAGCAAGGCTTCTAAATAGATATTGCTATCTTAAGGGTAAATAAAATGGAAGTGGGAAAAAGAAAATCTAAGGATATTTTTTTGGATCTAGGCTAGTCTTGTGTACAAATAGAGATCCTTCCATGAATCTGAGTTGCTTTCCTGGATTAATGGGCAGGTAAGGCTCTTCAGAGTGTTTCTCCGATAACTCACATTGAATGGGGACTGTCTTGAGGTGACTCATTTGAAGTTGTTATTGGGTTTGACTTATGAGGTGCCTGATGGAATCAGTGCCCACATAGGATGAGCTTTTCTCCCCTCCCCACTTCTCTCTCTCACTGACACGTAAACACACACACAAATACATGTGTACATGTAAATATATGTACACATACATGCTCTTAGTTTTATATACATATATCTACATATCTATGCATATAGATAGGTAGGTAGGTAGGTAGGTACGTAGGTAGGCAGATAGATTTACATAGATTTTTCCTATTGTTCATTACTTCAGCCCCTAATTTATACTTAAACATTTCATAATGCCCTTCTTTGTATAGTTAATATATGGGTACCATTTTATACTAGATGTATATGTGTGTTCCAACCTTACAGTTTTCCACATACATTTCAGATTGCACTTACAAGCAATGTATCCACTAGGCAGTTAACAGAACAAAACATGAGAGTAAATTGTGTGCATACAGATAGATACTCAGATAATCCCAGTTTATCCCCAGATTGCTTCTCTACCACAGGATTGCTGGAATGACAGACAGCCACAATTACCTCCTCTGCTGCATTCTTTCTAGAATATGCTAATTGTCAGGATTTACATCTAAAAGGTTCTGCCAAGAAATCTTGCCCTTCCCTTTGTGGAAGTCTCCAGGAAGTTGGGACTCCCTCCTATCCTGGTCCACACAGACTTGGTGTTGACGAACTGGACTGCAAAGGACCCTGAAAGGTAAGAAAAGGAGAGAGTGCTTCAGATTTGAACAAATAGAAACTGAGTAAGAGACAATCTTGTGACTCATATACTCCCTGCCAGAAAGGCCCAGTTATTTTCAGTTATTTTGTGAATAAAGATGTCCATATTTATTGTCTGTTTTATGGTCGCAAAGAAGAGATGAATGTGTGCCGGGGTCCAGCCTCGGCAGGGTCTCAGGGTCCCCGAAGGATGCACGGCTCAGGCCAAGAGACTGAAGGGAGACACTGGGTGGGGTGCCGGAGGACAGCCAGGCTCTCCGGGCCCGACTGACTCACTGAGAAAAGATCAATCTTTATCTTTATAGGGGAGGTTATACAACATTCAATGCATAGTGTGATTATTAAAACAGAAACGGTTACCACAGAAATAATTTCTAAAAACACAGAAGGTTTTACAGATCGATCATGTTAAACAAAGAAATAACCGAAAAGTACAGGAAGTCCCACAGATCAACCATATTAAACAAAGGTTATTTTGACCAACAGGGTCATTAATCAGTTAGCCAACGAAACTATACGGGCACAAACTTCCAGGTGCCAATTAGTAACTAGGTGTCTACTAAGATTCTAGGAATTGGTCTAAATTAAAAGGGTGCAAGGGGTGATTTATAGGTATATAGAAATCAACTATTATCCATTAAAATTAAATTTATCTCAATTAGATAACTGATTTTTTGCCTATATTTTTTGATTTATACATCTTGGGGTGGCATGTTTTGTGTTCGCTTCCATGTATTGAGATTATTATTTTCAACTAGAACTCCTTGCTTCTTTATACTCCCATCCAGGGTATGGGAGGGGTAGTGGCTCTAATAAATCTTAAGCTTTCAGGTGGTGACTCCCTAAGAAACATTCCTAGCAACAGCTTCCTCCAGTGTTCTGGCAGTTGGTCTGCCCATAGTTTAATTTGTCCTTAACTTCACAGGCGGGGAAAGTAGGCAGCACTAGGGTTGCTAGGGGTCTCTATTCTGCGGTCAGCAAGTCATTTCACGCAGAATCAGAGGCATCATGCAGATTTTTTGTTATAACACACAGGTATCTAAAAATGCCACCACCTATTGCTAGCAGGGACAGGCATGCAGGAGGAGATAGACAGGGGATCTGACCACAGTCGCCTCTGCTGTGCAGACGTGGCTCACCTGACCTGAATGTGTCAAAGGTCAGCTGTTGGTTGGCTCCCAACAAATGTGAATACAAGTTCAAAAATCACGGGTCCCAGAAATTTCCTCTCAACGCACACTGAATGCATTGGTGCAGACCAGTTTTATTTGTTTGCTGCCATATCAAATTTTAATTTCTCAACCTGACCTTATAATCAGGCTCCTGTATAATCAGGCCTCAGTCATCCCCTAACATGCCCTCCATTCAAGTCAAGTTAGGACCAGGAACTTCCATAAGTGATCATTATATAGTGATTGGAAATGAATGGTTATGTATGAGTTGAGATTAGATGTTCTAGGTGTGTCAGATTAAAAATTTGATTAATAATGCTATCCACTCCACCTAGCTGGAGTAATTCCTTTGACAGCTGGATTGGGGATATTGGCATCTGTCTAAAGGAAAAATAGCATGAGTTTTTAAAAACAAGAAAATCCATTAAATAGAATAGAGTAGGAAGTGGCAAAGTATTAAATTTCCCTTTGAACTTCATTTTTCATGTTCACAACCAACTTTATTTCAGGCTATAGATGCAAGAGATAGCACTTCTGTTATTTACTAAAATAGCTAAAGGGACATTTAATTTATTTGTGAGGAAGAACTTCTTTAGCATAAGTATTGTGGGTAAATACAGGATTGCCACAGGTGATGGGAATATTCTTTAAAGAATTAAGTGCTTCATAAAGAACATAGCTTTTAAGACTAATTTGTGTGCCTCTTGGAGTGAGATTGGACCATCTCATCTGTCCAAGGACTTCTGAGCCCTGGGATTTTGGTTTCTGTAATGATGGATTATGATGTTTGACAAATTCTGCTTTAATAACAAAATCGGTGACTAATATTCCCATGGAAAGGTGTTGAATCTGGCTCCAACTTTGGACAGACAGAAAAAATTAAATAAATAGACACAGAGAAATGATCCTGATCAAGTCATCGAATATTTAATAAACTGAATCTCTAATTCAAAGAGGAGAGGATGGGGAGGGTTGAAGGGGAAAATGGCCGGACTAGGATGCTAAGTCAAAAACACAGCAACGAAAAGCTAGTTTCTCAGTGGGTGAGAACACAGAGCTAGTTTAGCCCCAGAGATGCAGATGCAGTCCCAGGGTTCAGTAGTTCTTCTTCTTGACTATCATTTTTTGGAGTCTCTTAATATGCCTGGCACAGAGCTAAGTGAAATAGAGAAGTGAAAGCAAAGTACACCCAGAGTGGTTAAATAACAAAGCAATTCATGACAAATAGCAGAGTGACAGAGACAATAAATCCTTCAGAACTCCTAAGAAAGTACATCAGTTTTAGGCTTTGAAACTAGAAAAAAGCTTGGTGAGAGGGTTGAACTTGATCTAAAGTAGATGTTAAAATGGGGGTTAGAGTAGAGTACCTACAGCAAAAATATGGATTTGTGGTAGTTGCAAAAATATAAAATGAGCAAGATGATTTATCATGATGCTGCTGGTTAAATGCTCTGGGGCTGACGTATGGGCTGAGACTTGGCTCACTCTCTGTCACACGGTGGCCTGTAGTCTCGGCACAGCCTGTGTGCATGTGAAGGTGAGGCGCACGTGAGTGTGCGCCTGCGCACATGTGACCCTAGTTAACAAACTGATTTGTTCTTTTCTTTTCTTTTTTTCATTTGTGGTTGTCGATAACTGAAATTTGACTAGGCTCCTGGACATCAGGTGAGTTCTCAGAAACCTTTCACGCACTGGAGAATCCATGCTAACTTTACACGATTACAACAAACCCAGAATGAAAGCATATCCAATTGTATGGACAGTATGCAAGCTATATACAAGTGAATACAAAAATAACGTTAGAAGGAAAGGTACCAAAATTAACCATCCAAAATTAAACAGTGGTTGCCTCTGCCTTGTAAGGATTAGGGGATTAATTTTCTTTATTATATAATTCCAGTCAGTACATAATAAAACAAGTAAAGCACATTACAACACAAAAACAAAACAAAACAAAAAAACTACAAACTTCATCAATTCTTTAATGATCTGAAAAACATCTCTCATCTCACCAAACTTGTAATAGTGGGGAAGAGCACTGTTCCCCACATGTGACCCGGCTCTGTGAAAGGCTGCATTGCAGGCAGACGCTGCCACACTACATAGGAATTCCTTTGAAATAATGTGGTACATGGACTCCAGCTCCTGAGGCAGGTCTGGCCCTGACCTCCTTAGGCTCCTCTTTCTCCAGAGAGTAAAGTTACCCTGTAAATTGGCATTGCCTCTCCCATCACCAAATCTCAGCATGAGGAAGGGGTTCAGTGTAAAAGCTGTAGCTCAGGAAATGAGGGATGAAAGGGTGAAGATACCTTTTCCCACAATAATATAACTGCTGGAACAAGGGCATTCTTGGCTTAGTTTTATTTTATGTTTGTTTTTTCCTTTCTTCTCATGTTTAAAATGTTAGAAGCAAGAGTGATTTACAAAGTAATGTTTTTAAGCTTTGTAGACTGGCTTTGTATGCAGGATATTTGAATTCATATGATCACAGGCCATTTAAAAGTGATTCCTCTGTACAGTTTTCTAGCTCTCACTCTGTACAAAACAAAGAATATTGATTAGAAAGAGCACTATTCCCCACCTGGTCCTGTGACTAACCAGCTCTGTGTCCTTGCTCCTACATAAAAGGAGCAAGGAGCCAACTGTCGCCCACCCATGGTCCCTGTGACTCTAAGCATCTGTGCTCCTGACAGGAATGGTGTCATGGGCCACAGGCTGGTCCTGTGAAGAATCAGAAATACCTGCCCGCTCACGCTTCATCTGCTCCACAGGGGGATGGTCTGGGACCAGTAGGGCTGTGCTGGACTTTGAGAGTCCTCAGATCAGGTGAACTGGTCTAACTCTGAGGGGACCTATGGGCCATGCGTACTCATGATGTCCAAGCCTCTTTAACCATACGGTCATCTCCTTCCCAAGGAACTTGGACATCCTTTTCTCATTTCCTGGGGGAGAAAGCCTGCGTGGTTTTATACTGGTGACTGTTTTGGTGGAGAAAGCAGCAGTACCTGGGATTAAGGTATCTTTTCACCTACAGCACCTTTTTTTTTGAAATGAGAAATTAGTCTGAGTTTTACTTCCCATTCAGTCCCTTTCCCTTCTGTGAATTATATAGATAAGCATAGGCCTTGTCCTGTTGGTTTATACCTGAGGAAAGGAGTTTGCGTTCTAGCCCACAGAGCTGTTCCCTTCTCCCCACTCCTGTAAAACTTGTAATTGACCATTTGTCCATTCAACAAACAAGCACTGTTGTAGACAACAAAATATCTGGCGGAACAAGACAGACATTGTCGTGGCCTCCACTGGAGCTTGTGATCTAGTGGAGAAAGATGGGTTGATATATAGGGTAATAAAAAAAAAATGCAGTGTTTCATGAAAAGACATCTAAAACCTAACTCAGAACTGAAGTGTCAGGCAAAGCTTGCCCTGGGGAAATGACAGCTAAAGGTAAAACCTGAGTGATATATAGGAATTAGGCAGAGAAAGAAAATGACAGACAGGAAAACACACAGACAGACATATTCATGGTAGAGAGCTGCCTTGCAGAGGCTCAGAGGAAAAAGAAGCATCAGTGAGCCCACCTAGCCCTGGGGGTGGCAAATGTAAACTCCTGCAGGGGTCAGGCAGTCTCAGAAAGGCCAGGTTTAGTAAGACAAAAGACAGCAGAGCAGCAGGTGCTGGAGCCAGAGAAGCCATGCCTTGCCTAGAGGAAATTGTTAGATGTATGTCTTTTTTCACCACCTTCCCTGATAAATCTATTCTGAGTCCTTACTGTGTCCAAAGTAGGGTCACTGGTTGTGGCATAAGAATTCTAGCACCCTCTGTCACTCTCAAAAGTGGAACTATATATACCCTGGCTGGCGTAGCTCAGTGGATTGAGCACGGGCTGTGAACCAAAGCGTCAGGGCACATGCCTGGGTTGCAGGCCACGGCCCCCAGCAACCACACATTGATGTTTCTCTCTCTCTTTCTCCCTGCCTTCCCTCTCTAAAAATAAATAAATAAATAAAATCTTTAAAAAAAAGTGGAACTATATGGTCACCTCTCATTGGTGGGTGTGATTAGTCCCTTGGATAAGGTAGAGACTGCTAAATAGGCTTCATGATGGAGGGGGCCCTGGAGCTGCGGGCTCTATGAGCTCTACAGAATCTGTCTGGTTTTATGAAAGACAAAGCTCAAACGTGAGGATGCCCTGATTCAAGATACAGACATAGATATGATTATAAGGTGTGGTAAATACAGAAGGAAGGAGAAAAATGATAAGAGTTATGCCCCCTAGAGTTATAAGAAGTAGCAATCAGAGGAAAGATCCAGAAAAACATACCCAAAGGTCTATCTGGGAGATGCCTGGAGAGATTATCCTTTCAGGCAGACCTCATGGCAAATCTAGTTTAGGGGAGCCCTGCAAAACTGTCCAGCAGTGACAGGGGTGCCCTTTCCCCAATTCCCATACCACTGATGCCCAACTCACTCCACCTCATTGGACCATACTGAATGCTAATGAATTGCGTTAATGAATCTTCTCTCCAGGCACTTGTTCAAGGAGTGAATGCCATGCTGCAGGCGAGCCAGGACTCCCTGCTCCAAGCCCTGGAGCAACTGAGACTCTCCATTCAGGACATCACCAGAACCTTAGGACAAATGCACGGTGAGGGGGCTGCCCAGGTTGAGGGCTCTCTGTGGGGGCAAAGGGCCTGGAGGCTGGCCAACATCTGAGATGGTGCTGGTGTATTCACTTCATTTTATGGTAACTGATTGCTGCCATACTATTGGGGAATGACCTGTCAGTTTGCACAGATGGTTTTGTGGTTCTGTTCCTTTTTTTGTAAGAATTTTTCAAGTTTGATGAGAAATTAGAAAATATAAATAGAAAATAGTCCACTTCCTTTAATGTATAAAATGTATGCATAGACACAAAAGCAAATTAAACATTATCGCATATGTTTACACCGCTATTTAGTTCCTATCAACTTTACTACTCAAACAATAGAAAGCAGATGACAGCTTAGTGGTTGGGGAAGAGATAAGACAAAAACAAATGTTTCTATCATGTTTATTCTACACTGTACACAGCTGTGCCCACAGAGATAGCTTCTTTTACTTCTCCGCTGTGCGGGAATTCAGTTATATATAGAGCTGCTCAAAAGCTGAGGGAGACTTGACATAATGGGTCCCAATGTTGGTACATTGTCAGACAATTCAAACAATGATGTGGCTATCAGCTTGTCATTTTCAGGGACTGCAAACAAGGCTTTCTTTTGAAGTTGAACCAAAAGTAACTTATTTTCTTTCAGTTTTGTAATACATGCAGGAATATATGGATACTCAGAGGTTCAAAACTTGGTCCCCACCAGTCACCAATGCCTACATCTGTGACCCAGTCTTGCAGGACTCCATCTTATCTCTGTCTTTGAACATTTTAGTCCTTCATCTTCTCCTGAGTTAAATTCACCACCATCTGGTTTGAAGAAAGTCCTTCCCAGCTGTAGCAGTAACACATGGGGTAGCCGGTGCTCATGCACAATCAGATCCCCTTCCACAGTCCTCCTTGTTCCAATGTCATCAAATTTCCCCCTCATGTACCGAAATCTGGCTGCAACAGAACCATCCTCACAGAGGGGCTCTTGGGGCACTTAGGTAGTTTCCGTATCTTGGCTATTGTAAATAATGCTGCAATGGACAGAGTGATCTTTTCAAATTAGTCACGTTGTATTCTTCAGATAAATACCCACCAGTCACCAATGCCTACATCTGTGACCCAGTCTTGCAGGACTCCATCTTATCTCTGTCTTTGAACATTTTAGTCCTTCATCTTCTCCTGAGTTAAATTCATCACCATCTGGTTTGAAGAAAGTCCTTCCCAGCTGTAGCAGTAACACATGGGGTAGCCCCCATGTGTTGATCTGACAAATCACAGACCAATAAGTGGAATAGTTGGATCATATGGTAGTTCTATTCTTAATTTTTTGAGGGATCTCCATACTGTTTTCTCTAGTGGCTGCACCAATTTACATTCCCACCAGCAGAATACCAGGGTTCCCTTTCTGCACATCTTTCTAACACTTGTTACTTCTTGTCTTTTTGATAATGGCTATGCTCACAGTGTGAGGTGATATCTCATGGTTTTCATTTGCCTTCCTCTAATCATTAGTGATGTTGAACCTCTTTTCATATACCTGCTGGCCATGTGTGTCTTTGTAAAAATGCCTATTCAGATCCTCTGCCCTTTTTAAAATGGGATGATTTTTTGGTGTTGCTGAGTTGTATGAACTTTTTATATATTTGAATACTAACTCCTTAGCAGGTGCATCACTTGCAGATATCTTCTCCCATACAGTAGGTTGCCTTTTTGTTTGATGCTGGTTTCCTTCATTAAATTGTTGCTTTTGTTTCCCTTGCTTTTGAAGTCAGGTTGGCTAAAATATTGCTAAGACCTATGTCAGAGAGCTTACGGCCTCTTTTTTTTCTATAAATTTCATGGCTTCAGGTCTTGCATTCAAACCTTTAATGCATTTTCAATTAATTTTTGAGTATGGTGTAAGATAGTGGTTTAGTTTCATTTTTTGACCCCTGTGGCTGTCCAGTTTTTATAGCACTGTTCATTGAAGAAACAAATGGTCTTTTCTCTATTGTACGTCCTTGACTTCTTGGCCATACATCAGTTGTCCATATGAGTGTGGATGTGGAGGGGAGGTGTACTTCTGGGCTCTCACTTCTGTTCTGTCGATCTGTGTGTCTGTCCTTCTGCTGACATCATATTGTTTTCATTTCTGTGGATTTGTAGGGTAGTTTGAAACCACAGAGCACATTGCTTCCAACCTTGTTCTTCCTTCTCTACACTGTCCTCAGTGTAGTGAACTTCTGTTCATTCTTTCTGTCCTCATTATGTAGACAAAGAAGTGGGCATAGAGTGGGTGTGTGGTGTGTGGGTGAAACACTCTGAACACTTGGGGTGCCCATGGGCCAGTTGGGGGGATCTGCAGGTGTGGCATCTCCAGCAGCTTGTGGGTGGGTGTCTTGATGGAACCCATGCAGTGGTCAATAAGATCTGCATCACTTTACTGTCCTCCAGGAGCCCTGACACTCTCACAGCCACTTTCTACCCACCAGTGCTCTTAGTCACATGGCTCACTGCAGTGTTCTGGACGGGGTGAGAGAGAAGCGGGTCTCTGGAAGCATTCCATGCAGCTGGGGAAGCAGGGCACTCATTCACATGCTCTCACTTTTCCTTGTGGGACAAATCACAGACCAGTGAGGTCTCCTTTGGCCCTGAGATGTGTCTCCTTGTGGGACAGGTAAGGTAGATAAAGTGAAATGTTCTTCTCACCCTCTTCGGGGTACTCAGTCTTGGGCAGTTTTTATTCCAGTGGTGTGCTGGAGCTTCTTTGCTGGACTCTTGGACTTGCGCAAAGGCTCTCCTGTCCACAGGTGACTATCTAAATCAGCATTCATTGGGGGAAGACAGTAGAAACTCTTATTCCACAATGGTAATGATGTCCTGCATGTCCCTGATTTTCATGCGTTACCTGTCTTCTCTTTCTCTTTCTATGAGTGGTGTGCGCTCACCACTTGTCCCTTTTTTGCTAAATGCACATCTTTCCTTATTTCTCTAATGGTCTTTTTATCTTTTTTTAAAGATTTTATTTATTTATTTTTTTAGAGAGGGAAGGGAGGGAGAAAGATAGAGAGAGAGAAACATCAATGTGTGGTTGCTGGGGGTCATGGCCTGCAACCCAGGCATATGCCCTGGCTGGGAATTGAACCTGTGACACTTTGGTTCGCAGCCTGCGTTCAATCCACTAAGCTATGCCAGCCAGGGCTGGTCTTTTTACCTTTTACCTGTGGATTTTTATGAGCTTTTGTATACTCTTGAGCATAATTTTTGTTAGTTATATGTGGTGTAATTGTTGTGGCTCATCTTATTATAACTTTTGAAAGCAGAAAATTTTAATCTAAATATAGTCAAAATTTCTGTCATTTCTTTCATAAAAGTTTGGTTTTATAGGAGGTGTTGCATGAGATACTTTAAAATCATAGGTCATAAATATATTTTCCTGTATTTTCTTTGAAATTGCTGTTTTGTCTTTCATGTCTCAGTCCTTAGTTAACATATAATTATTATTTGTGTGTAGTGTAACATAGGAAATAAATTCAATTTCCCTTCTGTGAATAATCACTTATGTGCAGTATTAGCTAATTCTTATACCAGATTTTCTTAAATGACTAGATCTGTTTCCAGGCCCTCTATTCTGTTTCATTGCCTGTTTATTTTTTCTTAACCAATATCATTTGTCTTAAGAACTATAGCTTCATAGTATTTCTCATTTCCAAGTAGAGAAAACCCCCTTACTTTGTTCTTCTTTATCTTATCCTGAGCCTTTGCCTTTCTTATAAACTATTAGAATCAGCTTGTCAAATTTTATTTCAAAGTCTTTGTTAGCAATTTTGCTCAATTTGCATGACATCTATACATTCATTTGGAAAGAAATTCATGATTTTTATATTATATCCAGTCCTTCTGTACCACGATCAAGGCAGGTGGAGAGGTAGGGCTAGCACAAAAGCATTGACTGAAGTTCCTGGACAAGCTACCCCACACCACGTCTTCACATGAGCGCATGTTCTTGTGTCATACAGCTTGAAGTTTATTCAGATAGAAGCGTCTTCTTTAGATACATTTCTCCTCTTAGATACTGATACTGAATTTTCTTGACTTTCTTGAAATGGACAAACTTTTCATTAATTTTTAAAATTTTCTTTAATTTCTTTCAAAAGACTTAAATAGGTTCAGTTTTATTTATAGTTACTTTATATTTTTGTTCTTAGTGAATACAATATCTTTGATTTAACTACTGACTGTTGCTTGTTTACAGGATAAAATTGATATTTGAATATTAACCTTGAGTTTACAACCTTGATAAACACTCTTAGTATTCTAATAATTATGTATACATAATTACTGTACATTTATGTGTACATAAATAATAATTATGTATAGGTTATGTGGGTTTTCTATGTAGAAATTATATAATTTAAGAATAATGTTCTTTTGTTTCTTCATTTATGCTAGTTATAACTTTTATTTTTGTTTAATTTCTGTTTCTTATTCTTCTTGCTAGGACTCCTAACACAGTATTGAATGGAAGTGCTGATCCTTGCTCTGTTTCACATTCTAAAAGACTTATTTTTAATATTCCAACATTAAATATAATGTGTATTATAGGCTTTCTATGAATTCCTCTGAGCAGTTCAAGGATGAGCCCTCCGAATCCTAATTAGCTAAAATGTTTTGTTTATTTGTCTCTATCAGGAATGGATTTTTTAAATGTATATTGAAATTTTTTATACCGGAATCATTTTACATCTATGGAAATGATTATTTGATTTTTCCTCATTAAATATGGTAAATTGGGGAAAATTTTGAATTCTTTCCAGTCATTCCTGCTTCAGAAAAGTCTGCACATAATACTTAGCATTTTTGTGGGAACAGAGCACCAAATGGGTAAGACCCAGAAATAACACCCAGAAAAAAGCCCAGAAGAGCATTGTCACAGAAGAGCAGAGAGAAGGTGACGGCATTCGGGAGCAATGGGACACCCTGAGGCTCAAGGAAGACATTCATCAGCTGAGGCCGTGGGGCCTCAGAGAAGACAGAGTCCGAGGGCAGGAGATGGAGATAGAGATGGAGAGCGAGTAGGTGCGGCGGGAGAAAAGGAAAACTGATGGTGTAGAGATGTGATTATTTAGGTATCATAAAAAATACGTTATTTTTTTCTCTTAGAAACAAAGAGACAGAAAGGAAAATGGATAAAAGAAATATGCTTGGTCACAGAGGGGCCCTATTACTTGAAGGAAGGGAGTAACCTTCAAAAGTTGGTAAAAACAAAGTCAGTACAATTGTGAAAACCTGCTTCCTTATATACACTTCAGAAACTAGTGAAATCAGTTTTCCCCAAGCATTAGCTTAGATTCAACATAGCTGCACAGTTTATGAATGCAGCAAAACATGGAGCGAAATGGATCAGTATTTGACCTGGTGTGACCCTCTCTGGGTAAGAGACTGTCCACTCCACTGTCCTTTGTTGACCACGCGGAACTCCACTTGAGCACTGACGGCTTTGGTTTCCTCTCTGGGGAAAGCCTTGTGAGAGGTGATTCTTTCTCTCCGCCTTCTCATTTCCCCTTCCCATAGTCTCTCAAACATCATCTGTTTAAATCACTATTTAAAAAAAAAAAAGGACTTTATCTCTGTCTTTTGTTGTTAAGTGCAGCAAGGGGAAATACCGCAAATAGAAAAGGGCAGCATTTGGAATAGTTTAAAAGTTCTGCGAGCGCCAGCGAGGGCAACTACATTCCATCCACCTCTGGCTTGTTGCTTCATTCCAGGTTTCTGAGCAGATCAGATAGAGAGGCAGCCCCAGGAGCACATCAGGGCCCATACACATGTAACCAATTGCCTTTTTTGGCCTGTAGTAAAGTTCAAATTTTGATTGTTCCTCCAGATTATGTAGATCCAGACATATTTTATGCAGTCATCCGGATCTTTCTCTCTGGGTAAGTATAGTTCAACTGTTTCCCTGCATGAGGTCTCTGTAACATTTTCCAAATTTATGGGGGTAGAAACTGACATAAGCTTCCTAGAGCAAGAAACACACCAAGGAACTCTTGTTAGCAGAGAAATCCCCTGGATCCACTCTTGGCTAGAAGAGGAAGGTTACCATCTGCATGACAAATGACATTAAAAGGTTGAATATTTAAGTTTGGAGTAATTGTCTTCAGGTTATCCTATTAGAGTTATTTGTATTTACCTTTCTTAGAACACCACCTAGATGACAGACAGGAAAAAAAAAACCAGGTATGCCACCCACAAAGGTCATTTATATTCCCTTGTTACCGAGACAGATGGAGGCATAGACAGGAGCTGGAAAGCTTTCTTACAACATTCCTAAAACAGCTACCCCAAACCATTTTCTCATGTTCCTGTGTGCTCTCTTCTTGTCACATTGTTAGGTAGGATAGAGAGTAAACCGAGGCTGGGAGGAGAAGGGAGGCATGTCTCACCCGCTGACTTAGCCGTCCTGAGCCTGGTGTCACAATGTTGCGGTGTTCAAACATCACGGGAAATACCATGCTGACCCGGGAGGAGGGCAGTCTTTGAAATTCTGTGTGTTCCGTTTCCACCATCTGGAGAGAGCCTTTGAAACTGTGTGTTCATCCCGAGGTCTAGAAAGGGGATGAAGAAGGGGTTCACATTGCCCAAAGGAAAAGCCCATAAAAGAGCTTTGGTTAATTGCCTGCCTCTGGTCATGATCTATTTTACAAGGGGGTTTCTAATGCTTACAGAAAGAGCCCATAAATAACTCTGGGTAAGTGCCTCAATTTTAATTAACTGCCTCCTGTCACACATCTGTTTTACAACAAGATGACCAAATATGGTCTGGAGCAAGATAAGAATTTTGGGGGAAAAAGACCCCCACTCATACTTACATTTGAGTAGTCACATCCCCCACAGGAAGCTGATGACACCTTAACCCACCAATCAATTCGTAACTCCTTCACTTCATCCTGCCATCTATATAAGTTCTCAGAACAAAGGACCTGGTGCTTTTTGCTACCCGAGCCTATGCCTTTTCAACCCCACCATGGCTAGGCCCATTCTCTTCCATGAGACTGTATCACTGATAACCTTTGCTTGCACACTAATCGACTTGCTGATCTGTAATAATTCTTTACTGTGTCGCAAAAAGTAGTGAGTTTTTCCTGCAACAACATGACCTGTAATTTCTCCAAAAACAGCTCTACTCCTAGATGTGTTTTTTATATTAAATACACTCATCATACATTGACATGCTTTAATGAGATCATTTTCCTATTCACTGTATGAAATTGAGTTTGCTTGTTTGTTTTTTAATGGTGAAAAGTGAAAGGTACAGGTAGTGGATGGATGAGATAAAAATGTGCAATCGATACTATCCAGAGTGCCATATGTACAACTAGAAGATGACTGGAGTGTTATTGATACAAAGCATATAAAGCTGTGCCTGGATGCAACAAGAAACTTGCCATACAACCAACATCAATAAATGTATTGATTTAGTGGTATAATCCATTGGTGCAAAAATAGAATGACAACATGTACTAATTATTTTCTGTAGATTGCTTAGGTGTAGGGTATGAGGAAGTGACCTCCCTCTCTAAGGGAAGCTGGCCTGGGTGGGGATTCCTCACGGTAGGGTGCAGAGCGTAAAATACAGGAAGGTTTCTATGGAATTAACTTGAAGGTAATGGGTACCTGGCTTAGGGGGGGTGGGGGGAGGGAAAAAGGGGAAGGTGACAGATAGGGAGTTGGGAATGTGTTTCACAATTTGGACTTTCACTCCTGAAATGCTCCCCAAAGAGAGTGTCCTATAGAGCTCTTCTTGCTCTCTGTATGTTTTTCATGTAGTCAGGGTCAAGACAAAATCTGAATATGGGAAAGATTCTAGCAACAAATATTAAGCAGAACATGCAGATATGCTTCAGTAGGATTCGACAAAAGAAAAAAGGGTCATTTAAAAATGTTTTTCAAGTTATATTTTATTGATTATGCTATTAAAGTTCTCCCAATTTTTTCCTCCTTACCGCCCTCCACCCAGCCACGCCCACTCCCTCAGGCATTTCCCACACCATTTTTCATGTCTCGGGGTTGTGTGTATAAGTTCTTTGGCTGCTCCATTTCCTATACTGTACTTTATATCTCCATGTCTATTCTGTAACTACCTATTCATACTTCTTAATCCCCTCACCTCTTCACCCATTCCCACACACACCCCTCCCATCTAGCAACCATGAAAATGCTCTCTATATCCATGATTCTGTCTCTGTTCTTGTTTGCTTGGTTTGTATATTTAAATTCAATTGTTGATAGATATGTATTTATTGCCATTTTATTGGTCCTAGTTTTGATCTTCTTTTTCTTAAACAAGTTCCTTTAACAGTTCATATAATAATAGTTCAAAATAGGCTGGGATTTAGAAAGCACCTAATTCTGAAAAATCTCTTTGTGCTTTACTTTGTTCTCTAAGTTTGTGTTGGATTTTTTTTGTAACATAACAAGTTACCACAATCTTAGCAGCTTAAAACCACACACATTAATTAGCTCATACTTCTGTAAGTGAGTAGTCAGGGTGAGTTTAGCTTGATTCCCTGCTTAAGGTGTGAAAAGACCAAGTCAAGGTATCTGCTGGGCTGAGCTCTTATCTGGAGATCTGCGAAAGAATTCACTCAGATCTTTGGTACAATCTAATTCTTTGTGGCTTTGAAACTGTGGTGTTTGTTTCTATGCTGACTATCAGGATATGCTCTCAGCTTCTAGAAGCTTCATTCATTTTGTCACCTGGCCTCCTCTGACTCAGCAATGACACTTCCTATCCTGCTTCTATTTCACATCTCTCTGACTTCCTCTTCTGCCCTGAGTCAGAGAAAAGTCTCTGCTTTTAAGGTCATTGATTAGATTCAACTCACCTAGATAATCTAGAATGACCCTCTATATTAAGGTCAACTGATTAGTAACCCTAATTACATCCACAAAGTCCTTTTATCTTGTTATATAATATATCATTATGGACAGATATGACATCTCATAATGTCATCAGTTCTGGGAATTAGAATGGGAACTTGGGCCAATGTTTTTGGAATTCTACCTATCATGATTAGTGGGCACCAGAAGGTGACTTTGTTTTCGTTAAAATAAGTTCCAGGTCAATGACACATTTTATCTGTCATCTACATAAATGTCTCCCCTCTGTTTCTTACCCTCAAAATATTTCCCATGTAGCTAAACTAAGTGAACAGTACCAAACCCTAAGTGTATTGATAAGTGCGGATGACCAAAAACATCCGGATTGTTGACAAATTCCAATAGGCTTGTCCTGAAAAATCTAAATTTGCTCCTGTGTTCTTTATTTGTCTTATGTTTGATTTATTATTTTTGTTTACTTTTTAAAACATTTTTATTTAGGAGACTTTAGAGATTTCATCTGCTAATGAAACATTCCCTTTATTTCCCACTCACATTAAATCTCTCAGGGAAGTTAATATCCCCTGTGGGGGGAAAAAAAGACATCCCTTTTCTTTTTTTTTTGTCTTTCCTTTTAAATGTCTGCTTTTATTGGGCTTGCTAGAAATATGCTACAAGAAAGGCTAAAAATAGTCTTGCCTACAGAGATTTGAAAGAAAAAGAATTCCTTTCCTTCATAAACAGCAGTCTGGGCCTGAGAATTCATGGGAGCAATCCTTGAGCAACCCTTGAGCAACCCTTGGGTTCTTCAGAGAAACTTCATTTTCCTTCCTCAGACTATTGTCATCATAGGAGGAGAACATATGGGTTTTGAAAGTAGGTACCTTTCTCTTACTTTTTTGATTTTCATGCTGTTATTTCCTCTGTCACCTTCTATGTGGCTTCAGCGTGTCTTCCTCAGGTTGGGGCACTAAAATGAGACTGATTGATATCTTGGCCATTTGAGTGTTTGATGGCTCTTTTAAGCTGGCCAGGTCTTTTTAAGAAGTACACTTGGATATACATATTCTAGATATGTAATATATAATTATAGAACACTATAACTTTATTCACTCATTCATCAGCTATTTAATGAGTGCTTACCATATGCCAGGCACAGTTCTAGGTGTTGAAAATGAAGGAATAAAACAAACCATGAACTTCATTTCTATGGAGCTTACATAAATTTTAATAAGGGGAGGCAGATGAAGTAATAAACATAATAAGATCAAGTATCATATAAGACATGTTACAACAATGAACAAAATGAGGAAATGTGAAGTAGGATACAGGGCATCATGGAGTGGTGGGGTAGTAGCCAAAGTTTTTATTTATTATGATCTGGGAATGCCACACTTCTAAGGGATGTTTAAGCAGATACCTGAAGAAAGTAAAGAGTAAGTCACCTATATACTTGTCCCAAGCAAAAGGAAAAGAAATTATGATGGCCCTGACATGACAGCATGTCGTGAAGGAGGAGCTGCTGAGGGGCCAGCAGTGCACGAATAGAGTAAATATTGGGTGGAATGAGAAAGATACACGTGATAGTGGAAGATTGGATCATGCAGGGGCCTATTGGCTTCTTTTCTAAATGAGGTGGACACCACTAGCAAGACCGAAAGGAGGGACATGATCTGTCTTAAGTTTCAAATCACCACTCTATATTCTAAGTAGAAAATAGATTATTTCAGAACAAGAATGGAAGCTTGGACAGAACTTAAGAAGCTTTTACTGCAGTTCAAGGTGGCAACTTTAACTAGGGTGGTAGCAGTAGAGGCTTTGAGAAATGGCAGGTTCTGGATATAGATTGACAGTCAAGTTGAAAGGATCTGCTATTGGATTGCACATGGAATGGAAGAGAAAAAGGTCAATCAGAAATCAAAGAGGATTCTAAGGTTCTTGGCCCAATCTGTTGAAAAGATGTAACTGCCAGTTTTTCTGTTGAGGCAGAACAAGTTTGGCAAAAGGGTGGGGAAATCAGGAGGTCAGTTTGGGACGTGTTCATTCCTAACAAGTTTGGCAAAAGGGTGGGGAAATCAGGAGGTCAGTTTGGGATGTGTTCGTTCTTATGGAGATGTCTAGCAGATAGTCAAATATGAGTCTGGAATGCAGGGGAGCGGTTCAGGTGTAGGAGCACATTCATAAATAGTCAGAATAGGTTTTTAAATCTGTGAGGCTAGATAAGATCACTTGGAAAGTGCAAGTAGTGAGAGGTTCCAGGACTGAGCCCTGAGAGAGTCCAAAACTTAGAAGTGGTTGTAATGAACCACTAGTTCCAACTAGAAACTAGTGAAGGAGGCCAAAATGACTATGTAAGATCATCAATGGGATTACAAAGAAAATCTGAACAAGTATGGTATCCGGTCCAATTACCACATAGTAGCAGTCAGGTTTTCAATATTGCTTCCCCATAAAATGTTGTTTAGAAATTTTATTGGATAAGTGTTCTGAACTCTGAACAAGTCACGAAACCTCTCTGAAGCTCATTTAATTCTTGCAGCAGCCTTAGGAAGTAAGTACAAATTAGGAGAGCTAAGATGGGTTTGTATAAAGTTACAAAATAATGAAAGGGAGAACAGGGATTCCAAATCATTCTGAATAATATCATAAAATAGCTGATACTTATCGAATGCTTAATAATATGTTCCAAGCACTGAACAAATGTTATTTTCATTACTTCTCACAACAATCCAATAAGATAGACACTTACATTACTTGAATGAGGAAGTTGAGGTTCAGAGAGGTTAGCTAAGCTGAGGCTCACAGTCGCAAATAAATATGCAATTAAATTCCATATCAGCTTAAAATAGAGCCCTCTTTCCTAGCAGCAACATCTTACGATCAGAATCTTCCCTTTGTTCGTTCTACTTGTCCCCCTGACTGCTTCCTGTGTCTCATTTCTTTCTCGACTGATATTATCTCACCTGCCAAGGCCCCTTAGATATCCACATAGAGAAAACCATTAAATAGCTAACCAAAAACAGCCACACATCCAAAAAATAAAAATAAAAAACACCTTCTTGCAGTATTTACTGCTTCTGAGAAATTATTTGAAAAAGGTCATAAAACAGGAAGCTAAATGGTGTTTCTGTGGCTTTTGTATGTGTGAAAACTGGGTGTTTCCCATCTCTTGAATACAATTTTAGATTTGTGGGAAGAAGGTGATACATCGCTAAAGCCTGTTATTTAAACTGTTAACAACCAACATGGTAATTTGTTCCTGATAATAGGAGAAAAAGATTCTATTCCTTAGAAAAAGGAGAAATCCACATGTACAGGTTTTGTGAACGTGAAAATAGAAAATTACAAGCTTTGGATTTAAGTTCTGGTTCTCCTGTTCCCAAGCAATATGGTAGGGGAAATGTAACTGCTTCAAATCTTTGTTTCTTTAACTGTAACATGGGTTTAAAAATACCTGCCTTGATCTACTCAAAAGAGGTCACATGAAAAAATGAATGTGAAGCTGCTTCATAAACTGTAAAGCATTTGTAAGTACAAATACATGTGTTCTTGGTGCTTTTGGTTTTGTCTCATAATGGAGCCACCCATGCACACTCTGTGATTGTTTAAGACTCTATAAAATCAGACAGGGAAATGAGTAAAATAGTTGGAGATAAGAAAAGCGGTCCCAGAGAGAAGAAAATGAAGAAATGGAATCAGTAAGACTGAAGAGAGGAAAGGAGAGAAGAAAAGAGAGGAGAGGAGAGAAAAACCTACTTACTCTGAGCATGACCAAGAAGAGCCTTTATTCCAGCCCTCTAATGTGTCCCTGAACTTAGCGTCTGGTTCCTGTAGGGTTGTATTGTGCTCTTTTTGTCACTACGATTATTATCAATACCTGTTATCAACAAAGCATTTGGTAAAAGCATTCCCATGAAGTCAGGTAGCATTTAGAAATGATAGTTTAATGTGACAAGTGTTACAACTATTTCAGGGAAGGGCAAAGATGTATGTATTTGTATGTGTTATGTGTGTGTATATTTCTAAATCTCTACTTGTGGAATTATTCTATCATCAAAACTATTTTATTGGGGGAGAGAAGATTGTTCCAGAGTCCCTAATTTGTTCCTGTGAATCAGTACTGATGTCCATCATTTTTATGAACAGACTTTTCAAAGGGATGTACTGTGAAACCAATGCTGAGGATCCTTCTCTACATGTTCTTTACTTGTCTGTAAAAGTCCTTTAAATGAGGTAGGGGAAGGGTTGCATTCTATGTCCCATTATGAAATTGGGTGAAGATGATGATTAGGTACACATCCTACAAAGATATGCAGCCTTTGATTATCATTGAAATCATGTTCTCTTTGTTGCTCACTCTCTGCTTCTATATCAGAAAATACACTATTAACTCCAAGCGCCCACTTATAACTTTTACTCTTGCTTAGATGGCAAGATAACCCAGCAATGCCTGTGGGGTTGATATACGAAGGGGTCTCCTCAGAGCCCCTGAAGTACTCTGGAGGCAGCGCAGCTCAGAGCACAGTGCTTCACGCCTTTGATGAGTTCCTGGGCGTTCGCCATAGCAAGGAAAGTGGTGAGTCAGACATTTTTCTTTTTCTTTTTCTCTTTCTTTTTTTCCCCTTAACAAGGAAGAAGAACAGAGGTGCTTTTACAAAATGATAAGAACCAAGTGTAACTTAAAGTGTCACAAAGTCTTACTTTTCCAAATTAACCAGGACACTGTGTGCCTGCCATACTTGTACGTTGTGTTGTCAATTAATATCAGATCTCTGCAGGATATTGAGTGTCATTTCCAAATCTTAAAATATTGCTGTGTTTCCTGCCATGCACTGCAATTTTGTTTGGATCTTTAGGCAATGGCTTCCCTTCTCTAAAATGAGAGTGAGTTGTGGAGTTTGAAGGGTGTGGCCTGTTGTTGATAAGTCTGGGTCCTTAAGGATCTAGGCTCCTCCATGAAAGCTCCTCCCCATACAATGGCACAATCCCAAGCAAATTCTATTTAGACCAGAAGAGGGAAGGGCCAACCATTTTAGAAGCTTGAAAGCCCGAGTCCTTACCTGCCAGCCTTGAGCCAAATGTTTAACAGCAGCCAAAAGCACTGCATAGGACATAGTTTTCAAGATGAATTAGAAAAAAAAAACACTACAACTTGGTGTCATGGGGTCCAGTCTCATCCACAAAAGCCAGTTCTCTAGAACTGAGAAAACTTCTAGTGGAGTTTGACTTGGTGACGTCAGTGTTTGACTGGCCATGTGTAACATTAATCACATAGCGGCTTTCCTAAACATGATTTATCTATCTCCCCTTTCTATAAATATCTCTTAATTAGGTTTTTAAACAGCTTGACTTCAAAAGGCCACTCTTAAAAGAGTTGCTCATTCTTTATCCTCTTGCTCTTATAAATTCTATTCCTTTCTTCTTCCTTAGCACTCCCTCCAAAACAAAGCACTTAAACAAAATTCAGCCAACTATCTAGCTACTTAGTTTAAGGGTTTATGTTTTACATTCATAATTTATTCTTTCATAGTGACTAGCAAGATACTTGGCCCACATTTGGTAAATGATAAATATTGATACATTGGCTGATAGATCTAGTTCCAACTCAGTTTTCTGAGATGAGCTTGCTTCTTTCTCCCTTCCCCATCTCCTGTCGCTAGTCATGAGTGTGCACTTGAGTCTTTGAAGTCTATGAGCAAAAGAGCCAGCAAAGCAGATTGGATAGTTAGAGTGACAGCAACAGTCTTCGCAGCACTCATGTTCGGAAAAGCAGATAGGCTCTCTTATCTTCCCATGTGGAGCTATGGCATCGTTCTGGATTGTTTCTTTCAGGTGACTTTCTGCTCAGGATGAGGGACTACATGCCTCCTTCTCACAAAGCCTTCATAGAAGAGGTGCAGGCAGCTCCTTCACTGAGGCATCATGTCCTGTCCTTGGGAAACTGCCAGCTTCTGACTGCATATAACCAGTGTGTGGAGGCCCTGGCAGAGCTGCGCAGCTACCACATAACCGTGGTGACCAAATACCTTGTCACAGCTGCAGCAAAAGCAAAGAGCAGGAAGCCAAGCCATCTCCCAGAGCCACCTCAGGCCTTAGAAGAGAGGGGCACAGGAGGAACTGCCGTCCTGAACTTCCTGAAGAGTGTCAGGAACAAGACCCTAGAGGCCATCCTCCCACAACGCGGGTGATAGACGGCTCCTCTCCAGTGGTGCAAAACCAGCCCATGTCCCACTGGAGGGCAGATGGGCCTGAAGAATGATGATGATTTGTGTTCTGTTGGAATAACACAAAATCAACCTCAGTCCTTAGAACATCGGCTTCTCCTTCCTTTGGTCTTCACAGAGATTTTTCGTGGCCAGAAATTCTCCTTTCTCTACCTGATCACTGGTTAATCACAAACAGCTTTGGACACTCCCTCAGTAAAAACCCCACAGAGGAGCAAGAGGATCCTTGTTCTGTTTGCAAAGTGAGGGAAAACCAATCCAAATTTCAGAAACCAAATAATATTGCCCATGGACAGATCACCTTGACGATTTCTTGAAAAAAACAACTTAAATATGCATGCATTCATTCACTTAAAATGTATTAAGTTCCTACTGAGCCCTGGCTTAGGAACCTGAACAGTGGTTTTTGTGGCCCCAGGGCAGCCCTTGTTTCCCTGTGAGTGTCACCTGGCAGCAGGCGGTTGGAAGGCCCCAGTGCAGACGTGGAGGAAAGGGGAGGCTAACAACAAGACTCAGAAGTCGCCAGTACGGAAATGACTGGTTAATGACATGGGAACGGATGAGACTCTTCCACATGGTTCATACATTTTCAGTTCTATTTCAGCTTCCTTTTTTATTTTTAGAAGAACAATTCTTTCTCCTTTCACTGAAGGTTTGCATTTGTAAAATGAATTAATTGACCCTTTGGAAGTGAATGGGTGAAGTGGGAATAAACAGTAACTCCACATGTTTACAAGGCCTCATTCCATCTGACAGTACAGAGCTAGAAAACTTGCATCTGTTCTGTTTAGGATAAACTCCACTAACATAGGCTTGCTTCCCACTATGCACGCACGTGCATATCTGGGGTAATATCTAAATTCCACAGCACTGATCTAGCATTGCAGCATCATGAAGAGGTGCCTGACCATGAGCAGCTTCTCCCCAAATTAGTGTCTGACAAACAGTCCCCTTCTCCATATATTGTAGATACTGGTCAAATGGAGCTTGCAGCATGGCTTATCCTGTGTAAGCGACCTTTCAGATTTTTCAGCCCTCAAGGTCCTATCCTGCTACTTAGAAAACCATTGGACTACGTCCCACACCCCGCCACAGGGAGTACTGGGAGATGACAGGATTGACTCGGAGAGTCTGCCCAGCACTCACTCAACTGTCTTTACTCGGTAGTGTCATGATGTGTGTGGAGGCAGGGACTTCTGGACTCTTGTCAACTCTCAGGGTCCTTGGTAAGAAGTCATGAACCAGTGTCTTCTACTTGGGGTCCCAGGAGGGCTTGCATTGCCTTGTACCCGTTGAGGGCTTGGTCTGGCCAAAATGGGGGGCGTAGACTTGACAGAGGTGAGACTTTCTAGTCTGGATGGGCCAAAGGAAAACCGTGGATCTGACAATGTCCTCTCTGCCTTCTGTTTAGGTCAAGATCTCAGCTCAAAGACCTTTCATAACTCAGAAAGCCTTTCTCTCTATATGCTGTCTCTGTTTTGTATAGAAATCTGTTATGAAACTCAGAAAATGAGCATGGATATGCTTGCTTCTCTTGGGTTTGCTTTTCTAACTGCCCTAGCTTGGTATCAGTAAACCCAGACCGTCTTAACTGCTCGGATTGGGTATATGCGATGGTCTGAGGAGCAAGGCCAAGTGCACAATGTTGGGGAGTAAGGTAGAAGCGTATTGGCTGATTCAAAACATCGTCCCTTCTCGATATCATTCTCAGGGAAAAATAATGAGGCCTTTAAGATCTGTGTTTGAATTTTGATGTCTTCATTTTTTTAAAACAATGTGGCTTTTGACCAACTTCAGAAAATCATGAGTCCTCAGCTTCCTATTTATCACAAAATCAAGATAATCAGACTGATCTTACGGTAGATATAAGTAACAGAAGGGGTAGTTCTTGGCAAGAAGGGTAAAGTCAACAAATGTTTATTTGGCCATGAGGTGCAGCTCAGATCATAAAACAAAGGACACTTTCTCATGCTTCTCAGACTCACAGAGTCTGCATAGTAATAAGCAACCATTTATCATTTATCCTTTGGGGATTCTGGAAAGTAGAAAATGACAAAGTGTGGGCTTAAAGAGCTGAAAAATCTGGATTTGTATTCCAGCTCTGTCACATTTTATAATGACAAGTTGTCTAATTGTTCAGAGCCACAGTTTACTCAGTTGTAAAAGAAGGAACATTGTAATATTGCATGGGGCAAGAATGTCTAGAGTCAGTAATAAAACAGTGGTTATGATGCTTTTATTATTGTATATATTTATATATACAGCCTAGAACTAGAAGGAACCATGTCTAGGAGTTCCTAAAAACCAGAAGAGATGCTGGAATTAGTTGTCTATCTCGCTGTCTCCCTGTACTTGGGAGAGAGAGAGAAAACATGGCCTTAAAACAAGCAAGCAAGCAAAGCAAGCTAGAACCTGGAATTTTCTTAAAATTTTGTAGGCACATGTGGGGAGTAATAATGATCAGACCTTTGATTGAGAACTTAAGAAAGGATGACGGTCACTTTCAGCTTTAATTCTAGATTAGTACCAAACCAGGCTCCGATTTGTCCCTCTGAGGACAGGATTGGAAAGAGTCATCTTAACGGTCCACCTTCAATAGATGCAAGTCCACTCAAAGAGACCACAGAGCCTGGCTCAGAGCAGACTTTTTATAAATGCTGAGTAAGTGGAAAACCAGATAGAATTAATGGGGTGGAAAGAGACATGTGAAATGTTTTGTCTTTCAAAGCTTTCGGATATGTATAGTTCGTTTGTTGTCATTACACAAGGATGATATAAACATGAAGAACTGTTTTATATCCTAATGAACTAAATTTTAATTCTTGTGGCAAGGTTTGATTCTTGGGAGAGGGAGTTCCATTTTTGGTTTTATGGTACAGTGTTGTAAGTAGAGATACCAGTACAGAAGAGAACACATTTTTCTCAAGATTTCTAGGGATAACAGGTATCCCCATCAGTAAAAAAAATGACTTCCTTATGATAGAAATAATTGTATTAGTATTACTACATGAGGATATCACTGCAAGTTTGAAGGAACTTCAAAAGAGCAAGCATAGAAACTAGACAGATGCAGGCTGGAATTCTCACTCTGCTGTCACTTACAACATGAGCCATTCACCTTGCTTCACACCTCTGCTTCACAGTAATCACATGTATAAATGAGGGGGTAGTGGCAACCCTGCAGTGTTTTTGTGAGAAGTAAAGCTAATATATATTTGCTAACTAGCAGGCCCTGAGTAAATGGTATTACTATGACATTGTTGTATGTTCTACCCCCTTGATCTGGATAAGAAACAACTGTAGACAAAGGAAACAGTAAGAAGAGCACGAAGCTTGCTCTCTCCCATTCTGTAAGTTTCAAGGAGAATGGGGAGGAAACCCAACAGACATGGAACCAAGAAGTACGGCAGACACCGTTTTCTTGGGGCACATGTGGAGGAGTGTGTGCGTGTCTATCGGTATAAGAAGCAAAATTACGACTGAGAACAAAGAGGTGGCCAAATCAGCCCGGAGTCAGACTCCAGGACAGGTTCACCATGCTCTAGGATTTGTCATCTCTGTTCATATGGATCAGAACCAAGAGAGATGGTCACGTGATTGTACAGGGGCCAGCAGAAGTAACGCCTGCTTGAGTGTGGTTGGTAGGGTAATAATATGGGTGTAATAATTTATAGCTTTAATTTAAACATTTCACCTACAATGAATGTCATATGGTGAGCTTGAGTGTGATACTGTTATGTTACACAATTACATGCTTAGGATTTTGTAATAAAAAATGGGGCATTATTTGTGCCAGACACTGTATTTTAAATGTATCTGGATACAATCAGAACCAATTATAGTATTTAACACATAGTAGTTTCATAATGATTGTAGAATAAACCAATACTCAGACTGAGTGAAACAGTAAGAAGGTCTGCAAATTCTTGCCTTCAGAAAATAGTTGCCTTCAGGATACTCAGCCTTACTGCCGTGGAAGCGGCAGTGGAAGTGGAGGAAAACCTGTGCTTTCTTCCGAGCTTAGGAAGGTTGCACCTTCAGTTATTGTAGAGGGCCAGTCCTACAAATAGATGGGGCATATACCACTTAAATGTTCAAGTTTCACCAACTTTATGCTGAGCTATACATTCCTTGCCAATGCCTTATAATTATTTGAGGTTTGTTAACCAGAGGCTTGTATTATTTTGGGTTCTCCAGAGAAATGGAACCAGTAATAGGGTGTGTGTGTGTGTGTGTGTGTGTGTGTGTGTGTGTGTCTTCAGGGGTGGGTGAAGAGAGAGGGGGGAGATATTTATTTTAAGGAATTGGCTCCTGTGATTATGGAGACTGGCATTTCCAAAATCTGGAAAGTAGACCAGCTGGCTGGAGAGTCAGGGATGAAGCAATGCTGTAGTTCAAGCCTAAAGGCCAACTGTTGGCGGAATGCCTTCCTGCCCCGGGGGAATTCAGTCTTTGTTCTGTCAACTCTAACTGATTGGACAAACCCCACTCACATTATGGAAAACAATTTCCTCACTCAAAGTCCACCAACTTAAATGTTCATCTTCTCTGAAAAAACAACACCAAAACAAAAGAAACAAACAAACAAAAAGAAAATACTGATGCCAACACCGGCCCGCAGTGTCTGTGTCATTATGGATGAAATGAGACATTCACATGGACTTCCAGGTCGTGGAGGAAAAGGGACAGTATGGCTTTTCTCTCAAGGGGGCAAAAGCCGTGGCCTCCACCATGACAGGCCTTTATTGAGTTTCTCTGCCCATTACATGATGATCCTCAGTTACTATGCACAGGTTCAATTTAGGTGGTTACCTTTTACAGAAAACAAAGGAGCCAATACTGCTAATCACATCACAGAAGAGGGATATTTGCAAATAAAAAGGCAACTGGTTACACTCATCCTTGGAAGGTTTAGCATGGATTTTAGGAAGTTAACTTTGCAGTAAATGTCCTCAAGTCAGGGTGAGGGAGCTTTTAGCAAAAAGCAAGACTCAAAGCAGCCTAGGTACATTGAAGGCCTGATTCCCCATGGGAGAACCTATCCGTGGGCGTGGGTCCTGTGCATCTCTGAGTGGGAGCTGGGCCCACGCCATGCAGACCAGTCTCCTACAAAATACCCTCACAGAAACATTCAGAATATTGTTTGACCAAATATCTGGGCATCGTGGTCCAGCCAAGGTGACATATAAAATCAGCTATCACAAGCCTCTTTGAGAAGGGCCTGAATTAGGATGAGCTATGGTATCTGACACACACTCTCTGTTGGAGAAGAAGAATCCTCCTTTGCGAAGATGGAGAGGAGGCTGAAATGGTGCAGAGCAGAGCTATTGCTTATAAGGTGCCTGAATAGAAGGCAGTAGCGTGGTGTCTAGAAGCCACCAAAGAGAAGTGAGAATACCATAAACAAAAACTTGACTTAGTTTATAACTCATATGTGAAATCTAACGAACAATGTAATCAAGGAAACAAAAGAGAAACAGACCAGACTGACAGTTGCCAGAGGAAGAGGGATTGGGTAACTGGGGGAAAAGGTGAAAAGCTTAAGGAGTACCCATTGGTTGTTACTAAAGAGTCATGGGGATGTAAATGGCAGCACAGGGAACATAGTCAAAAACAGTGCAATGACTACGTCTGGTGCCACAGAAGTATGGAAGTATGAGGGGAACATGTCGTGAAGGATATGATTGTCTAACCACTATGCTGTACACCTGAAAGTAACACAAAATGATATGGAACATAAACTGTAACTGAAAAATAAAAACATTAGAAAGAGTTCTATACCAAGCAATCCATATGGGATGAAACCATTGTCTCTCTTAATAAAAACAACAGCTCACTGCTCCCAGGTTGAGAATATAGGGCAAATCTTCCCTGGAGAGGGAGGACCAGGCCTTGAATTCTAAAACCCGGTACACAAGACTGACCTTCACTTTGGCTGCCCTCAGCACCTACCACTGCTTGTAACAAGGGAACGCTGATTTTTGTTCACCCTGTGGTCACATCCAGTCCAGCTAAGATTAACTTGATAATTTGGGGAACCTTTATTAAAGACTCAGGGATGATTTTAAAAGCGAGCAAACAAAAATCCATAACAGAAACACCAGTGAGATGCCATGGCTGCCTCCTGTCATGCTCACTCTGTGGGCTCACAGGCCCCATCGTGATTTGGGGGTTACCAGCTGGGGGTAGGTCGGACGCCCTCAAACCTGGACACAAAGACGTCTCACTCTCCAGAGGGTCGAGTCAGGACTAGTGAGGCTCCGAGTTCTCCTTCCATTGTCATTAGTCTGAACTTCTTTTTTATTGTTGCAATGCAAGCTACACAGGGTTAAAATAAAGATAAACAAAGAAACAAAACCCGTATGTTGCAATCCAATTTAAGATGTGGGATATAACAGTTTTGGTACCTGCAAGCCAATTATTCCTTCCCCAACAGCAAATTTCACCCACCAAATTTTGTCTTGTATTTTCTTGGGCACAGATGTCCTGTTTGCTTGGCTAATGGAAGACATGTTCTTCTCTTTCTTTGTTCACTTAACAGTAAACTTAATAAAGAAGTCGGATATCATTGCTTTTTGAAGTGCAATCTCTAGTTAATTTTTGCAGTTTAACATCTGCTTCCAGTGATATTGAAAAACTGAGTTCTTGAATGTAAGCATCATCAAAAACAAATGATTTTTTTCTTTTGCAAAGTAATTTTCTTTGTAAACTCACAAATCTTTTGGCCCACATGGTTTGGTGGCAGCTTATATAGATTCCAAACCAAACTCAATTATATATCTGCCTTCAATGGTTCATAAACAGTTTTTTTTTTGCCCTCCTAGAGTTTTCAATCAGAGATTTGACCTGAGCCCTATGTTGGGAGCCCGTAAACCCCACCCTGGCCCTCACCAGGCCATTTCCCTCCTCACTAGGCAGGAAGTGCTGGGGCCCAGGGGACTGGCCTTTAAAATGACTAACTTTTTAGAAAGCCAATCAGGGACACAGCCATACCAGACAAAATAGCAGCAGCAGTAGCGACGATGTAATGATAATGATCCACATGTGTTATTCATTTATTAAAATGTGAACAATATCCATCTACTTGAAACCATATTCCAGTCAACATTACTTACCTTTCTGATACATAAATGTTATTATTTAAACAAAACAGCTACCTACTTTACCGTGGCAGTTAGTAATGAGTTGAGAAAACATGATCACAATACCATGCGAAAAAATCAAACTCGTGCTATCTCATTGCGAAGCACAGTGCTAATCCTCAAAGTCACAGACAGACTGTTAACATTTAGGACTACAAACGTTGTGACTTAAATTGCACACTGGAGTCACATCCATTATTGAAAACCACAAATCACAGTTGCGAACATCAGCCATCAGGGGAAACTCCTGGCAGGGACTGCAGAAGATGGGTAATCTACACCACGTTTGACGCTAACGAGAGTGTTCATTTCAGCCCCTACTTGGGGGCTGCCATATACATTTTGTACTTTTCCTTTACTGGCTTGGTGCAAGATCAGAAAATGGAACTTGTGACATCCTGATGGAGGGTTTCTTGGGCTGGGGACTTGCAGGACAGACTTAGGCACACCGGTGCGTCCACCCTGTTTGCCCTCTGTTAATTCACACCACCGCCACCTCCACCACCACTTTCTACACCACACTCTGGGTACCTGAACTCCAGAACACCTTGCCCAGATGGTCTCAGCACTGCTGCTAGAACCTGCAGGGCACTGTCTCCTGAGTTTACTTGTCACCGTGCCAGTGGTATGGATTCGCCTGGGTCTGCAGTGAGGGTGTATGGAGGAGGGGTTCTTTGCAGGTACATGGATAAAGTTCAGCCCAGTGGCTGGGGTATGCACAGGAATGATGGAGCATTCCCTGGAAGTGTGCTTCAGAGCAGGCTGGGAAAAGCAAGGTTAGATCTGAAACTGTCTTTGTGTCTGCATGGAATTCTAAGGAGTCTGAAAACTTCAACTTAAATATGGACTCTTGGGTACTAATGAAAGTATCTTTTTCTAGGTAAGTTGGTAGAACACCTTTTATTTAATACTTTCCAGCTTGATTTATAACTTTCAGATAAGTGTATAAATAGCTGGTTGATGTTCATTTGTGCTTTACCTTAGGCCCTGGTGAACATCAGCAGTGGGGATCACCTATCTCAGGCTTAAAGTAGAAAAGTATAAGCTTTGCTTGTAAGTCTAACCGGTTACCACCAGAGGGCAATAGCAACCTGCAATATAATCCACTGAATTTAAAGCAAGGTGTGGATTCCCACCAACCTCACAGACCCAAATATTTTCCTATTAAAAAAAAATCTCTTTCTGCACAGTGGGACTGGGAACAATCTTGAAAAATTAACACCAAGAGCTCCACCTCCTGACAGCACCACGCCAAAACAATCCAGATTTCTCTTTGTCCAAAAGCAAGTCTTATTTCATTTACTTGTAAATTTTATTAGGGATATTCTAGGGGGTAGAATGGTATGTGATTTGTACCCCTCTTTTTATATTTCTTATTAAAAAGCAAAATACTAATACGTATGTTTTTAAGAGTTGTAGAAGAATTCTTCATCCTACCTAAGTGACCAGGGTTCTCAGAGAATCCTAACTGTTGCCAAATGGTGAGAAGATGAGTAACAGGACTCAGCACTGC